GCTGACCCCAAGGACAGGGCATGGGGTGCAACTCACAGGCCCTTCCTCCCACCTCACTACAGAGTTGGGACAGGACCAGTGAGGTGGGATCACAACTCCAAAGGAGCCACCCACTCACTGAAGCCACCTGGTTTCCTTGGGCTGGATCCTACCATAAGGTAGACTGAGAGCCAAAGACATTCTCAGGCCCTCCCTGAGGGACCTGACTGGTGGCAGCAGACCCCAGGAGGCCCTGACCAGTTCTTGGCCTTAGGTCCCACGTCGACACTCCCCCTGCCCTCCCAGCACAGCATCCTCTTCACTCCCTCTACTGGCTTCAAGCCAGGCACTAGAGGACTGTGTGGGCAGTGGCCTGTGTTAGAAGTCTGGGAATGGGTGGAGCGTGAGCCCATTCAGGCCTGCCCCTTGCAGCCCCCAAGCAGCTGTTGCTGCACCATTTCTCCTGGACTGGGTTAGGCTTGTTGGGTTGTCATGGAAAGTAACATCCGGTCGCTGCCCTTGGAGAACTGTGAGTCAGCATAGCCAGGCTGGGTGGTGACTGGTAGTGGTGACAGCCCAGCAAGCAGACTCTGCCCAGGCATACCAAGGTGACTGGGCCTCAGTGGGGTGTGTCCCAAGTCTCACCCATCTGCCAGGGCTGACAAGGCTGCTGAGGGTCTCAAGAGACATTGGCCTGGGGTGAACCCAAGCTCCAAAGCCTTGAATGACCTGGGACAGTGGCTTCTGTTTGGAGCCCCAAAGTCTGCATCTCCCAATGGAGAGGGTTCCAGGTATATAAAGTGCCCAGAAAATTATGTCAATTCAGTGGGATCACAAGCTCAGCCTGGTAGTGCAGATGGAGAGCTGAACAGTAGTGCTGAGAGCCACATGGCTGACCGCAGTCCAGACCCCAGGTCAGCTTTAATATATGCCACACACGTGCATGTGTGTCCCCAAGATCCTAAAGAGCTGTAGGGCAGAGAAAGGGGATCACAGCATGACACTATCCTGTTAAGGGTGCTTCTCCCTCCCTGTGCACACATACACTATCAACAGGGCCAGCTGGCAGAGGGGTCCCAGAGTCTTTGCAACTGGAGGGTGCAACTGAATCTGGGGGCGTTGGGGGCCCCACCCCACATGGGTACACTCCTTGAGGTTGGGGTAAAGACGTATCTGCCTCCAGAGAAAGGAAGCTGGGAAATCACCCACTCAGGACTCCTAGCCAGTGGCCAAAGTCCATGTCTGCTGTAATGGCTGATGAGCCAGTTGGCTGGAAGCCCAGGGCAGCCTCCTGGGGCCTAGACTCCTGGCAACCCCTTCTTCAAGGTGTTGCAGCTGGAGGTGGCGAGGTCAATGATGGACATTTCTAGCACTGCCTGTTCCCAGCTGCCCCTCTGCAGCTCACCCTCCAAGGTCCCCACCACATACTGGTTGCCTAGTTCTGAGCTGGTACTCAGAGCCTAATAAATTAAGAGGCTGTGCCAAGAGGCAGAAGGACTTGCCAGGGCAGTCCAGAGGCCAGTAACAGCACAAAGGATATGCCTGGACAAGCTGGACTGAGGCCAGGGGCTCCATCTCCCACCTCAGGGGCAAGTTCAGATCCTGGCAGCCTGGGCTGACTCAACTTTGCCCAGTGATGGGGCCTGGGGCATTTTGATGAGGATGCAGCCAAAAAGCTTGGGACCTGGGACTCGGGAAGGGAGTGAGGCTCATCTCATGAAGGGTCCTTGGGCTTGGAGGGGAGCTGCAGGGACAAACTGGGCTTCTACTTGGCCCATGCCCCACGTAAACAAAGGTTTTGAGTCACCTACTCACTGCCAGGGCAGCAATTTGATCACAGACTTCATGGCAGGTGAGGACAAGGGACCTGGTTCCTCAAAGGGAAAAACCAGGATCATAAGTGGAATCTATCTACTTTTGGGGCTTTTGAAAAAACGAGCGACACTGAGATTAATTTACATACCAACAAATACAGCTATCTGAAGGTAGTTCGTTGAGTTTTGACAAGTAATACGCATGTGCAGCCATGTCCATTTCTCCAGGTTTCCAGTCAGTCCCCTCCTAGTCAGCCACCGCTGCTATAGTTTTTCAAGTTTCAGAACACTACAGAAATGAATTCAGCCTCTACTGCTGAGGCTGTCCCATCATGTGCATGTACAGCCCCCAGTTGGCAGTTAACAGGAATACCTGAACCACCTTGGGCAAGGTGTGAGGGGTGGGGCGGGCAGGGGGGGACACTGGGCCCTGAACCCAGGACCTGCCAAGCTCCCAGGCTGCTCTCATGGATGCTCCAGCAGACCTGGGCACAGCCAAGGCTCTTACATCCTCAGACACTGGCTGGGCCCTCAGTGGGTTGAGTCATGCTCAATGAGGCCCAGGCCCTACAGGAGGGGTGCCACAGGTTATAGCTGAAAACTGCCAAAGGGATGGCAAGTGGGCAGGGCCACAGGGAATCCTGGGAAGTGGCTTTCAATGTCCACTGGGAAGAGTGAGGATCCTTGTAAAGGCCATGCAGGCAGGCCACAGGCAAGGTGGAGGAGGAAAGGCCTGGCTGGCCACGAGAATGAGCTAGCTCCACCCTGCCTTCTCATGGACATGTCTGGTCTCTAGCAAGTGGTGCTGCCAAAGCTGGGGATCCCACGGTCGGGAAATTGAGCAACGCCTTGTGTGGCAGGTGTTTCTGGGTCGACCTCTTCCTCTCATTAAAGAATGAAAGAGCCACAGGAAAGTACCAGCTAACTAATTTTCCAGGAAAAGGGTCTTAAAGACATGCTTGGGGGTGGGGGTGGGGAGGACGTGCACGGCGCTAGCAGGTGGTATAGTGGTTAAGGCAATGGACTCTCATGTAGCAGACCATGTGTACACGGGTGCTCAAAATCTTAAAAGGTGAATGGAGAAGAGACTGCAGTGTAACCATCCCCCTTGGGGGAAGAGGGAGCACAGGGAGGTGTGTGCTTTCTGCCCGCCACTCAGATGAGCACACGCTCCCTATAGCAAAAATCTCTCTTAAAAAAAAGGGGAGGGGGGTGTTAGGAAGCACTCTAGGTTATGGTGTATCCAGCAGGACGGTCTTGGAGACAAGGTAGGGTCACAGAGAGTAAGAACCATGGAGAAGGTTCCACGTTAGAAAGCTGGAGACTGGCCCAGCTACAGAGGCACAGCAGTTAATGCAGTTCTGCAATGCTGGAAGCCGTATCAGGGTTCAGTTCCTGGGCTGACTTGTATAAGCCATGCATGAACCGTGACAGGAAGGCTGGGGAGAAGACCGCAATACAAGCCTGCTGAGATAGCCCAATTCTATTTCATAAAAAAAGAAACAAAATATGGATGATGAAAACACTGACGAGGAAGCCTCTACACTGATATTCTCAAACCATGCCTTTGTCTTTGGTGTGTGTTTGTGTGTGTGTGTGTGTGTGTGTGTGTGTGTGTGCGCGCTTTACAGGTAAGACTGCAGAGATTTTATAGTTGCTTTATTAATAAAGCTTGTATTACTAATATACTTAGCTTTTTTTTAGAATTATTTTTATTTAAGTAATTAATTAATTAATTAGACCAGAGAGGGACAGAGTGAAAGAGGGGGCAGCGGGGGAAGTGAGAAAGCAAGCCGCTAGGTCCAGGACTTGAACTGCAGTCAGCCATGTGGGAGTCCAGCACCCTTAATCACCTTGCCACCAGGTTTTGCATTTTGATATAAACTTTGAGGTATTAAGGTATTTTGGAAGCCTGTGACCAAAAATCGAACCAAACTTGTAATTGACCTTGGATCTGAATAAACATCATTTCTGAGTTGGGAGAAAAAACAAAAAGAAGTTAGAGGCAGCTGAACCCCTGCTCCTGTGAAGCAGCAGTTGCTCTGCAACTGGCAAGCCCTGCCCTAGTGACCCCCGTATGCCCTACACAGGTAGTACAGACGGTCCTAGTAGCAGCCGGCTGGGCACCTCCAGGGGCTGTATATGCACATGATGGGACATCCTCAACTAGATGATTGGACACATGGGCCCCTGGGCAGGCAGAAGACAGACCAAACAAACTTATACAAGAAATTTCCCTTCTGGGAACCAGCAGTTAGCGTAATGGCTATGTTGCTTAACTCCCATGTAGCCAACCACGGTTGGACCCGGTGGCTTAAACTCATGATGGGCATGTACACAGTCATGCCCAAGATCCCACGAGAATGGAGGAGAAGGGATTGTGGCATGGCCATCCCCTCTGGGGGTGTGATTTCTCGCTTTCTATCTCTCTAGCGATCTCCAGCAAGCGTACATGCCCTATAGCAAACGCCCTATAGAAAAAATCCCCAAAAAAAAAAAAAAAAAAAAAGAAAAGAAAAGAAAAGAAAAGAAAGTTCCTTTCTGGAGCCTCTGCATCTAAAAGGCACAGGCCCTGGGCCAGTCAGTGGCACAGTGGTTAAGGTACTGGATCACACATGGCTGACTGTGTAGTTCAAGTCCCAGACCCAAGAGCTTATAAAACATGCTTGGGCGCATGTGCATGTTGCCTACAAGTCCTGAAAGAGGAGAAAATGGAGAAGGGATTGTGACATGACTATTCCCCACGGGAGGTGCATTCTCACTTTCCCTCTCTAGCCAGCATGGCCCTCCAGCAAAGTTGAAGAAAAACCAACAAGAAAACAAGCAAATAAACAAAAAGGCACAGCTCTACAAATTCTGAGAAAGAACCCCTTCCTGGGGACAAGAACAGTCTTTCCCAAGGCAGCAAAGAACCCATCTGGGGGTCCCCACACCACTTTGCAGCAAGGTGGGCCTGCAAGGGGAGAGACTGTAGGGCTCTAGGGAAAACTAGATGTCACCTCTTTCTAAATACGAGCTTTCAAAGCCTTAAAAATAAAAGGTCAAACTAGGAGACTGGAGGCCGTGGGCATATCAACATTCAAGGCTCCACAGAGAGAATCCTACAGGGGTGTGTAGCCACAGCTGAGCTGTCAGGAGAGAAGCAGATCACAGTGCCCACTCATCCACTCCCCCACCCCAAAGAAAGACTGCAGCACCGCACTGGCATCATGTTTCACAACTTTAATAGAATATTCTAACTATTCTGTACAAATTGAAAACACCGTATTCGGTTACAAATGTGTTATAAGGTAAGGCTGAGCACTCTCTACACGCCTGGTCACAGTGTGGACACAGCAGTCCCCGGCTATCACACTTGGAAATCCTACAAGCCAGCTGACAACCGGATACACCAAACCCAGGGCTCTTAAGACAGAATGAATGGTGAGACTCAAAAATGGGAGTTACTGAGAAGCAAGACCTGACGCTCACACACTAAACTAAAAAAGCCTTCTCTGGCAGCCCGATCTGCTTAGAAAGGTGCTGAGTCTGGCTCCCTGGTGACAGCCTGCACCCTCCCAAAGCAACATGTGGTCTGTATGTCATGAGAACAAGCTCCTGCCTCAGCTGTGGCGGCAGAGAGCAACGCGGTTTCTTCTACACAGGCCTCGCTCCAGCTAGGACTGTAAGGATGAGCAACAGCCCAAGTTCTCCTCACAAGCATGAATGAATAAATAAATATGAGGGTGAACCACTAAAGCTCTTACCTCAGTCGGTGTGCGCCACAACCCCCACCCCAGCCCCTAGAAAAATAAAACGCCAAGAAAAAATAACATTCTAAGGAAAACATGACCTTACTCTACACATGTGGCTCTTCTGAGATGATGAGAATACAACAGTTGAAGCAGCTTTCACACCCAGCAGATGAGAGGCTGGAAACAGTGTGTGGGTTTCTTCAAACAAAATAGAAGAATCTAGTCCAATTGTAGGAGCGATAAAACAGGTTCTAGATGCCCTGGAACCACATTACTAGACCTCTGCCCTTTTATCAAGTAACCCCTCACCCCCATCCCGACATATTCTGTAGGACTCTCCCAAAGAGCAGGGCCTGGGCAAGTCCAGAGCTGCAGGCACCGAGGCCGTAGAGGGTGCTGGAACTAAACCTCCTATTTCTGAAATGCATTTCAATTGCCACTGTACAAGTTAAGCAAAATAATAAGGAAAAAGTGAAAGTGAAAACCATGCACTTGAAAACAAGTTAGATGTAATAAGCACTGTCAATACGATTGTGCTGCAGCATGGACCAAGGCCCCTGCCTGCAGGCCCGGAGTCCCGACAGCTGGTCTACGAGGCAGCCACCACCCCTCAGGGCCGTCGCTTCTTACTGCTGTTTGCATTCCGCTGGCTGGCTGGGTTCTTTCTGTCAAAGAGAGAGAGAAGACAAGCATTGTAGGAAACAAAACTAGTGTCACTCACTGAGCATCTCCAACCAATAATGAAAACCAGAACTCAATTAGTTCACTCATCCTTACTGAAAAAAATGATTACCATAAGTATACTTTTAAAACAGTGAAAATCAAACCCCCAATTTCCCAGGAAAAGGTCAGAGTAAGGCTGCCTTTTTGTTTTAAAGACATTCTGAAATGTTCTAGTTCATGGTAGATTCAGCAGGGCTTTGGGAATAAGGAAGGGGCTCCTGAGGTCACAGATATTAATGTAACTTCCAGGACACAGAACATTCCATGGTAGGAAGTTGGAGGCAGTCATGGTCCTGCCCATGTGAAGCAGTGGCATGCTCAGTGCCTGGCACACTGCCCCAGGACAAGGCTTTGATATCTGAAGCACACCTCTCCATGGGCAGGAAACCCTTGACTTGCAGAGGGGAAGCGTCTCTCACAGTAGCGGCTTGCTCTTTTTACTAAAAGGGGAGACTGGGCCCAAGTAGAACTCTAATGGCCAGTACAGTACCAACAAATGATGAGACACAGGAGCTCCACAACAAGTTACCTATCCTGTAATGGTCTCAACAAGTGGAAAATTCTACCATTATGGCAAACGTATCCAGAAATACCATTTCTCCTCAAATGAACTGAAAAACTCCAATATAACCTAATGCACACATCTCATAACTTTTAAACCATGTTCAGCAGCCCCATGAATACAACCCATTTGTGGAGGTCAACAACAGAATGAGAAATAATTAATGATCTCATTGGTATTTCTGGCTGCTCAGGTTTCAAATTACTCTGGATATCATCTGCCATACCCATGGAATCTAAAAAACCCTGCATGATACGGCTCACAGGATCTTAACTGACACCTTCTACAGGATCAGCTGGGACTACAGCTTACTCTTTGGGAAGTCAAATTTAAGGGAACACATTTAAAGGATTTAAAAAAAGTACAATTTATATATATATATCTATCTTCTTTTTTACATATAGTTATACAGAAAATCACCATGTAACCCTAGCCTAAGCTCTTTCATTCTAAGTATAATGGAAACGGCACAAGAATAAATCCTCTGGTTCCCAGTCCTGGATCTCTGCCACTCTGAGATGGAACAACCAACCCTCCCACAGACGTCAACTGCTTCACAGGTTGCCTAAAAAGCCTGACCCCCCAAGAGAGAAAAATGAGGCTGGCCAAAAATCCTGGCCCAGAAGTCAATCATTCAACCATCAAGCACTGTCACCCTGACATTCGAGGGTCGACTTGGAGGCAGCGCGACACAGTGCCCAAGGGCATTAAGCCACTGGTCTTGAGGGTGTGGGACATGCAGGGGAGTCCCAGATCGGTGCAGCAAGGGCAGGAGGGAGGACAAGGAGCTTGCATGGGAAGAGTGTGCACAGGCAACAATAAAGCGAGTGGATTCAAAAACAGGAAGCCAATAAAGGGGTATTGAAGGGTGATGGAAAGGAACTGGGGCAGGTGGCAGAGGTGCTGGAATAGATTGTGCATATATAAATTATATACGTGCAGAGACATGTTTATATACAATATTGTACAACTCAGTCCATGCAGCATAAAGTTTTTCACTTTCAACTGTGAGAATGTAGAATCTACTAGTCTAAATAAAACCAATAACCTAGATGCTGAAGACTACAGAGGGAACAGAGTCCTCACTGAAATAGAGACTATCAGAGGGGATTGAGGGCAAGAAGCTGTAAGGAGAAACAAGAACTCAGGACCTTGCAATTGGCAGGGTTGGTCTGATACATGTGAGGGCAGGTGAGTCAGGTATATGAGCAACAAGAGTTTTGTGAACTTAATAATAGAAACACTAGTTGTTTCTAATCTGTGAACAGGCCCAAACTGCAATTCAACCAGGACATTTGCTATTTCTTTATATTTTTTTATTTATTTAGAGAGATTTTTGTTATAGGGCACATATGTTCATCAGAGAGAGAGACAGAAAGCAAGAAATCACCCCCTGGGGAGGATGGCCACATCACAATCCCTTTTCTCCATTCTCCTCTTGGGATTTTGGGCACCCATGTACATGCACCCTGCATGAGTTTTAAGATACTGGGTCTGGAACTCAAACTACAGTCAACTGCATGGGAGTCTAGATCTAACTTTAAGATACCGGGTCTGGAACTCAAACTACAGTCAACTGCATGGGAGTCTAGATCTAACTGGTATGCCATCTGCTGGTCCCAAAACCCTCTATTTCATGTCACAAATTTTAATCACAATTTGGTCACTCAATGCCAACGTGACTACAAAGGGAGGGAGGAAGTCAGTGTTCTAAAAGGCAACAACTAATAGCAATGACCATGCCCATCATGGATCATTTCCGAGATGATATTTTGGGCCAGCCAGTAGCATAGTATTTAAAGTGTCTGGCTCTCACATGCCAGGCATATATGTATGCATGTCCATTCCCCCTGGGGGATTATTTCTCACTTTCCGTCCCTTTCTGTCTCTCTCCAGTGGACACACCCTAAAAGTAAAAGTTAATTTAAAAAAAAAAAAAAAAAGATTTTTAACAGATGGTGATTGACCTGAGAAAGGGTACCACTGAGACACACTCAACTACAACAGTGTGCTAGAGAGCACGAAGTCTCGGGCCCAGAGCTCTCAGATGGAGGCAGCAAGGCTGCCCCTGCTAAAGAAACATGGATATCAACCAGATAGCTGTCCTTCCTCAGGCTGCCGCCACCCGATAGCTGTTAAAGAGCCTTCTCAGAGCCAATAGGTCGCACGGTGGTGAAGGCGCTAGAGTCACATATGATCAATCGCAGCTCAAGGCTACTTAAAAATCACACTGGGCACAACATGTAAAGAGCGGGGCCAAAATCCCAAAATGAAAATGAAAAAAAAGGATTGGAGTGCGGCCATTTCCCTGTAGGGTACTTTCTTTTCTTCCATCCCTCTGTCTCTTTCCAGCAAGCTCATGTGCCATAGAGAGCCTTCTTAAACAGCGATAGCAAGCTCAGATATTTATGGATGACACATGTATAGAATCTCTAACACTTCAAAGTAACTGGTGTGGTGGAGAAATGAGAAAATGAGAAAAACAAGACTGGTAGTTAAGTTCTTCAGACATGTTCATTAAGAGCAGCTGGAGGGACCAGCAGTTAGCGTAATGGCTATGTAGCTGAACTCCCCTGTAGCCAACCGTGGTTTGAGTCCCGGACCCGGTGGCTTAAAATCACGCTGGGCACTTATGTGTGAGTGCCCAAGATCCCGAGAGGAGAATGGAGAAGGGATTGCGGCATGGCCATCCCCCTGGGGGGTGATTTCTCGCTTTCTATCTCTCTGTCTTTCTGGCGAGCACATACATGCACCCTATAGCAAAAACCTCACAAAAGAGCGGCTGGACATAATTTTAAACATGCAAGCAAGTTATGAGACTTGGCCCTTAAAAATGTAAGGACAGAAGGTTTATGTAAATTTCAGCTAGCCAAAATGGTCCTACCAGGAAAAATAGGTGTCACAGTAGTTAAGGCACTGGATCCCCACATGGTTGACCACAATTCAAATCTCAGACCTAGAAACTTGAAAATCATGCCAGGCAGGGCAAAATTCCTAGAGAATGGAGAAGAGATTGTGGTGTGGCTATTTCACCCCCAACCCCCACCCCCGGAAGAGATGAATTCTCACTTTCCTTCTCTCTGTTTCTCTGTAGTGGGCGCATGCACTCTGTGGCAAAAACTTAAAAAGATAAAATAAAAGGTCCTGCTAGACCAAATATGTCCTAAACACCCACATCCCTTAGGTTTCCATGAAAGAATCTTGTGCACTTTTATGAACCCAAGGACATTAGCTTCAGGGGACCAGCAGGATCATACTGCTGTTCTAGGGCAACACCCTTACAAACTGTGTGCCTGCTTATCCCAACATGCAGAAAGCCCAGTTGCGGTTGCATAGTACAAGTGCATGTCTTCCTCATAGCACCATCTGTCACCACCTCTTTCTCCAATATGTTCCTACACCCTGCAAATCCAATGACAGTGCCTATGAGTGAAGAACAAGAGTTGGCAAGAACCTCTTTCCACTAAGGGGCTAGCTATTAGTCCATTTTGGACAGAGCACAGCTACAAAGACTGAACCTAACTGGGGATGGGAGGGTGGCTTCCTGATCATCTTGCTTCTTGACACTCAACTCACATCCACGACTGGTTTTTCTTATTCAGTGCCATCAACCTCATGCCACTTGTTACCACTTACACACACGAATTCCAGTAACCTTTTAGATAAATTCAAGCACATTAGGCCTAGCTCAGTCGGTAGTATATGAGACTGTACTGCTGAAGCCACATGGCCAACCATGGATTCAAATCCCCAGCCTAGTTGATCTGAAACATGCTGGGCACATGTGTACCCAAGATCCTAATGAGATTAAGGAGCAGGGAATAAGGACTATGGTGTGATGAGTACTTCCCCCCTTCCCCACCTCAGACTTTCTATTTAATGGTAGAAGAAAAAAAGAAAAACAAGGCTGGATCCGACATGGTCAACTGTAGGTTGACTCCCAAACATGCTAGGCATGAGTGCCTAAAATCCCCAAAATAGAATGGAGGAGAAGGGAATAAGGGTGCTTTCTCACTTTCCTTCTCTGTTTCTTTCCGGCAAGCGCACAAGCGCACTAGCAAATTTAAAAAAATAAAATTTTGGCATATTAAAAGTTCAGTTATCCCTGTGCATTATCTGCTGTATGCACATCATCTGAATCTGAAAAGCTCAATCAACTGACAACCAGAGGTCAAGGAGTTATAATGAGCTGAATGTCTACCATCAGAGTGTGTCTGATCCAGTCACAGTGCACCCACAATGGGTGGGGACAGACACGTGTGTTGCAGTCTCTCCAAGGCCTCATCGTCTATGGAGGTTTATGTGTGCTACCTACCCTAAAGGCTCCTGATCTTCCAGGGCCCTCTGGTGCTGGCCTCTTCCTGGAGGGCAAGACTGTCATTAATGAAAATACTGCCTGAGACACACCTTTCTATTTGGCAAAAAACATGGGGCTCAGAAAGCAGGGGCCATTGTTGGTTTTTAAGCTAAAACATCAAGACATCTGTACAAAACACTGCTTTTTAGAAAGCCCCTGTTAAATGTGTCACACACTGAGTGTGCTTGGACAGCAACTTCCTCTTTATCCAAAAAATAAAAACAATGTACCATACAAAATAAAGATCAGAAGTTTGAAGTTAGTTATGAATGGAATTCCACCTTACCTAGAAACGTATGAATGATTAACAGACAAAAATTACACCTAAATGGGGAAAAAAATTGAAAGCAACGGTCAGCATGAAAGAAAATGAAATGTACAAAATTATACAGGAGGAAATAGCCACAATTTCTCATGATACCAAAAGGGCTGCAAAATATTGAACTTGTGATGAGCGACATTAATACACCAGATCTAAGCCTTCAAAAATGGTCAGAGTGTGTTACTTTTACTCAGAGTACTCCCAATATCGATGTTCTTCCCTTTCTCACACAGATGCTGCCATCCAATTAATCACTGGTTTGGTCCCTTCGGCTACACATGCCGGCAATTCTCACACTGCACCAGTAGCCTAAAAATGGTTTCAGTGCTTTCTCCCCCAACCTCAGCCAGTAAAATGTGAGGTGTTAGTGTACAAGTCACTACTTACATTAAGCTGTATATGTAATCACTTGGTAAGAATGCTCTTAGAAGACTAGGACCAAAGACAGAAGATTCCACAGGCAACAGAAGGGAACAGAACAGACAACAGGGGGAAGAAAGCAAGGAACATGGAGATGCCAGTGAGACAAGCAATATACAGAGGCCAATGGTGCACTGGAGTCTGAGGAAATGGACCCCACACACCATCCCCAGCCCATTCTCCATCGCAACCATGCATGTGTTCATGCTATGCCCACGGGGCAGAAAACACAGCTGAATAAACACACCTGGCCCTCGGGACCACCAACACTGGTAGAGCAGTTTGAGGTGTCATGCATTCAGCCATAACTGTTTCACAACCTTCCATATTCCCTGGCCCAAACTGTAACCCATCTAAGGTAGAGACACCTAGGCCTTGTCCCTCCTGTAGGCCCCGCCCTTCACCATGGTGTCAAGCACAGGCACACTTCCATCCATGACTGACAGGCCAACCTTTAAAAGATCAACATTTTCATGAGCTTACTCCCAGAGGGGTATTTATGGCACATTTTGAAGTTTTAAGTCCTCTCTCATCCCTCCTCTTAAGGAACCAATACTGTGGATACACATTTATGAAAATATCTAGTGTTAATAAACTGATTACAAAACCAGGTTATTACACTGACAGCTTTTAGTGCACATTCCACTTTGGGCAATAACAAAGGTAAAAACAAACAAAAACATCTAGTCAGAGAGATACATAAAACACCAGGTAATGTTAGTATTCTGATGGCCCATAAAGTTGAACTGTAAGATGCAGGTGAACTATACATTTCATGCTTTAGAAAAAGACAAATGTTCACTATGGCTTTAGGATGACATTAAAGCAGTTCTGGATTTTATGTTTCAAATGGTATTGATGTACCTTGATTTAAACTAATCTAAGACCACAAATAAAAATCCATGATAAAGTTAATAACACTGTCCACTCATTATTCTTTTACTTTGCAGTATTCCTTAGCAAATGTCTCTAATTTCTTTCATTTTATTTGCGTGCGCACATGTGTGTAGGCTGGGTCTTGTGCCATGACCCTCCTGCCTCATTCGCTGGAGTAGCTGGAACTATAGGCATGCACTCTCAGCTTTTTAGGATGGGCTAGGAATCAAAGCCAGGTCTCCTCCTATTTAGCCTTAGCTCGCCAAATAGCAGCCTCCAGGAAGTGCTATCACAGAGGGGCCTAAGATTAATTTCAAATGATCTGGTATCTCTAGACAACTATAAAATTATGGCTACAATTTCATTATTCTGTTCATTAACCAAGAACAGCTACTCCCAAAGTCAGTTCTTTCCACATTTCCCCAAAAAACACACAAAATAATTCATACTGTCAGTTAAATCGTTACCTTAAAAGAATTAAACAGCTGGAAAACAGTCATCTACTGAACAATTTTGTGCAAATAAGATATATCTTAAAAAGAGTCACAAAAGCATTCTATTCAATTTTTACAGTGAACCCTCAAATCACAAAGTGTCTGAATAGGAACCCGAATATTTTTCTGATTTATTTTAGGCTTTCTATTTAGGGAATATAATCTAATTTTAAACAACATTGCCTATAACCGAAAAGCATTTGTAAAAGCCCTCAAGTATTTCTCTGACATATTTTCTTAGGTTTCTTTTTAGGGAATACAAATATATTTTTTACGCTATTGCCTAAAACTAAGTAGCATTTTTAAAAGCCCAGCAGTGTAGCCTATGTAAGTTTGGGTTACCCCCAAATCACTAACCTTAGGGTTAATTTCAGCATCGTCCTCATCTTCTCCTTCCTCATCACCTTCTAATTCCTATATTAAAAAGAGTGAGAATTAACTAGAAGGCAGGATTTACACTCTTGTCAAGTTCATTATCTACAAACAAATGAAATAATAGTTTTACTTTAAAGGAAACCAATTAATGCTGTCTGTAAAAGATTAAATCACATCCTTTGGATACTTAAAATTATTTTTTAGTATCTTTATGTTTTCACAGGTAACCCTGAAATAAACATATATCTGGAAAAGTGCGTTTTGTTTGTTAAATGATTATATCCTAAGATACATTTTTGAAAGCCAATTGAAAGGTCAAAAACTGAGTGCTGCTGCAACATTTACTATGTATTTGTTTAATTTTTAAATCAAGCTTGGAGAGTCAAAAGCAGTTTTACACAGAATGGATGTAACATGGTCCTAGGATTTCATTAAACTTTAAGTAGAGAACATCAGTAAAAATGCAACTTTAGGAAAATGTTGTTCCATATAAACCCTTTCTTACCTCCTCTTCTCCTTCCTCACCTTCTTCAAACTGAAAAAAAAAAGAAAGGATAAACACTTTCAGGTTTATAAAACTTGGTATCAACCGGCCCTAGACACCAGCCCTAAGAAGTGCTCACATTAGTCAGGCCAAAGAGAAAAATCCACCAGGTGCCACCTATTGGGCAGACAGCAGTGCTGACTCTAGCCCTAGTTCCCTAAGACAGAGAAGTCACTGTAATGAAGACACTTCAGGCCTGGGCCTGGCCCTGGTCAGCAACAGCCATTTGCTCCTAAGCTCTGCATTTTAATTTTAATAGGATGCCAAGAAACTTGAGTTACTAATAAGGAGTTAAGGACAGGGAAAAATGACAAGGAAAGCTGGCCTGCCAGGGTGTGCGTGGCTTCAACTGGGAACCTGGCATCACATCTCTGCTCCAAGTGTCTGATTTAGATGACAGGCAGACAGAAAAAACTTTTGCAAAATAATGACATTGGTTTTAATTTCCTACAAGGTTGATCTCTTTTTGGAGAGGTTTTTGCTACAGAGTACATCCGCTCGCCAGGAAGACAGAGAGCAACAGAGAGACAGAAAGCGAGAAATCACCCCCCAGGGGAGATGGCCACACTGCAATCCCTTCTCCTCCATTCTCCTGTTGGAATTGATGATATGCATGCATACAAGTCCCACCAGGTCTGGGACTCGAACCGTGGTTGACTTCATGGAAGTCTAGTGACATAGCCATTACACCATCTGCTGGTCCCGCGACAAGGTTGATCTAAGTAAACTAGTACCGTAATTTTATTACATAGAGGAACTTTATTATTATCATTTTAGATCTCATATGAGAAGAAAAGAAACCTTTATTTAGAAGAAATAAAACCAGATACTTAATCTTTCTTGGGGGGGGTGGAGGGAAGCTCACCCGAGAGATGGACATAGAAAAAGCTAGAAATCACCGCCCCCCCAACCCCGCAAGGGATGGCCACACCACAATCCCTTCTCCATTCTCCTGCCAGGATTCTGGGTGGGCATGCACATACAAACACCTGCCTGAGTTTCAAGTTGCTGGGTCTGGAACTTGAACCACGGTCAAACATATGACTGTCCAGTGCCTCAACCACTATTCCACCTGCTGGCCCTAATACTTTAAAATAAAAGTAAGTGCTCAAAGGAAGATCTCCACCATTGTAATTAATTGCTCTTGAATCAATTTTTCTAAATAAATTTCTCTAATTTAAGTCTAGGACATACTCAGATTCATGTTCCACATATGAGACAGACCTACAGCAAAATGAATCTTTTATCTAATGGTTACATGATCAGAGTACATGAAAACATGGCAGATTTTTAATGTTTTCTTCCTATTAAGCCCACTCATGTTCCTTGGAGACAGTTTAAGTGGGGCTTGAACGCCACGACTATGCAGGTATAGCCCATAGCTGGCACACCCTCCTGTGCCTTGCAGCAGCCAGGGTGGGTGGGGTCTGATGACAACTGGTGCCCTTTCATTCTGATATCCTAATTGCCTCCTGAAAGGAAGACCTTTCAGAAGTCACATATTTTAGATTAAATCTGAACTGGCCTCAGAAGGCTTAGTGAGGGTCAGCCAGTGGTGTGGTGGTTAAGGAACCTGGATCCAGCCCTCAATTGGTTACTAAGGTTAAATTAACCTAAATGCTCAGTTTCTCAGTCACAGTAACCACACGGCAAAGTCCTTGGATGGTACACATGCCAGTCCTGCTGTACTGGGCCAAACAGGCAGAGGAAAGGCCATTAATCGAAAAAGTTCTATTAGAAAGTGCTGGTCTGGAATCTGTTGTGTAACCAGTGCATCTGAAGATAGGTCTCAGCAATTGCTCAAGTGCCTCAACACCCCAACAATGCTGAATTCTATGTGCCCATGTCTCCAGTCCCTGCCATCAACTCTTAGCATAAGAATGAACAAGCAAGCAGCATTCTACAAGTGAAGTGACCAGTCAAAGATCTCGCAGCTAATATATCATCAAACTGGCCCATTCTGCCCCCTCTGGAGAAACTGCAGCACAATGTAGAGAGGTGTCCAGGGAAACAGAGCCTCACTGCCTCAGAGGCCAACCACTCAAACCTACTGTCCTATCAGAAGCCTGAGTAGACTTTAAAAAATAATTTTGCCTTTGAGTACATATACTTGGGTGATGGTAGGGAGGCTGAAAGGGGGGAAGGAAAGAGATAGAAAGTAAAAAGGTACTCCCTCCTGTCCCCCACCTTGGGGAATGGTCATGGCATAATCTCTTTTCTTCCATTTCTCCCTCCTTTAGAGCTTTTGGCCTCACATACACATGACATGTTTCAAGTCACTGGGTCTGAGACTGGAATCATGCAGTTGGTCATGAGTGATTCATGCTTTAACCACCTCTCTGCAGGCTGCACGCCCCCACCCCCAGGCAGATCTCTTAACGAAGTAAACTTCAGTGCTGGCAAATAAAGCACTGGACTCCCACACAGTCAACCACTGTTTGAGTTCTGGTCCTAGTTATTTGCTTTCACTTTCCTTCTCTTTCTCTGGTCAAATTAAAGAAATAATTTAACAAAATTAAATAATTCTTTTTTTTTTTTTTAAAAGGGGGGGGTGTGATTCATGTGATTGGCTTCATAGCCCAGTGTTTGAGAGAGCTGGATCCTGAGCCAGCAGGTGCCATGGTGGTCTGAGAAACACACTGGCCACGTGCACACATACCTAGAGTCCTGAGAATAGAGAAGGGATATTGGCATGGCCATCCTCTCTGGGTGTGATTTCTCACTTCCCTCTTTCTGTCTGTCTCCAGCAGAGCACACACCCTATGGCAAAAAGCTAAACAAAAAAATTTTTTGAGAGAGATAGAGAGTGAGAGAGAGCTATATCTGACAAGGCGGACCACAGTTCAGATTCCCAACCTCTAAAACTGCTTGAAAAAACAAGCCAACACATCAACACATGTGTGCATGAATGCTCCAAATTCCTATAGTTTTGAGAATGAAGGAGAAAGGATTGTGGAGCAACTATATCCACTAGGGTATTCTTTCTCTGGTGGGTACATGTACCCTCAGACAATTAAAAAAACTTTTTAAAAAAGGAAAAACTTGGGAGTTATGAAACTGAAGAGCTCTAAAGGCAAGAGAATAAATAGCACCTAAAACATACTTCCAGGAACAAGGTATGAAACAAAATCCTATTTCCCAGTTTGAGAAGACTCATGGCAACCAGAGCCCCAGCACAGTGGAGGTCTCAGGCCACAACCTAGGGCAAGTCTCCTAGGCTGTGCTGGGATCTGTGCTTCCACAGCTCTAGCTCTGTCTGCACAGAGGGAAAAAACCAGACAGACTTGCCACTTCTATTGTGCATCACAGGTTTCTATCTCTTCTCGGCTGTTATGTGTCATGGGCTAGTTTGAGTCTACTGTCCATCATTCCTTGGTCTTAGAAATTCCCTGGAGGCCAGCAGGTGGCATAGCGGTTAACTCACTGAACTCCCACATGGCCAACCACGTTTCAATTCCTGGACTCGGTGGCTTGAAACTTACACCAGGTACATGTGCATGCATGCCCCCAAATCTCAAGAGAAGGGATTATGGTATAGTCATCCTCCTTGGGGTGACTTCTCATTTTTTTTATTCTCCATCTCTGACTGGCAAGCACATGCACCCCATAGCAAAAATCTCTTTCTCTCTCTCAAAAATAAATAAATAAATAAAATAATAAATAAATAAATAAAAATCCCTGAAGCTTACAGGTCTTACACAGGACATGGTGAGTTCCTGCATGGTCTCTAGAGGACAACGTGAAATAGGCCCTGGATGTGGAGACTGCCTCCTAGACATTGGCTTCTTCCACTCCTACTTCTGAGATTCTTCCCTCTTCCTACTCTGTCTTCCACCTAAACAGGGCAGCAGCTTGGACTATAGGTCTGACTGACAATGTAATGAAAAGCGCGTGCTTTGAGGTTTCCCCAGTCACAATTCAGGGCTTCTCTGAACCCACAGAAGTAAGCACCCAGGTAACAGCTTCCCCTCCTCTGGGCCACATACATTGTCGTCATCCTCTATGGCCTCCCCAGTGAAGTAGAGCACAGCCCGCGGGACAATCCGCTCACGGAAGAAGTGTCCGATTTCAAAATCAGAGGCTAACGTGAATTCAGAATCTTCATCCTAAGAGGGAAGAACCGACATGTTAACTCATTTTAATGAGACCACATTCACTTAACCACCTCACCCCTCACTTTCAATTTGACTTGAAATACCAAACTCCTGCACTTCAGGATGACAGCCACCTAAAATACCATTGGGCTGCTTTACTGGAATTAGTAAAGCACATGACAGAAGGCAGGAAGTAAGGGGCTTGGGCAACTACAGGAGAGGGTATCAGAGTACCACATATGTGGAATGCATAAGATTAAATGACACATATCTAATACTGAAGGCAACATGAAATAGACTTTCCTCCAACCCCACAGTTTAATGGTTTCAAACCAATCCTAGGGCTTAAGAGTAGGAATGGGTTTAAAAAAAAAGTGGGCGACCATTCAAAATAAAAATTGTAACAGGAAAAGAAGACTTTTTAATAGTAACATAAATCTTACCAGTGACTCTCCATCTCCAGATGCTACAAAAAGAAAAGACAAAACATATGTATGTTACAGTGACAACCAAAAACTGTTAAATCCAAATAGGAATGTTCAGCTGGCAGACAAAAAGAGAACATTTGCCAACTCAAGGTTTTTCACTGGAAATCACATAAGCTCTGTCCTCTGCCTGGGTCTGCACGAGCTCCAGCCACCACTCCATGTCAAAGCTGGTAGAGTGCCTCCATGCCCCCTCCGCCACCTTAATCATGTGCTGTGGGCTGGCACCCAAGCTTGCTTACAGACCTCCTAGAGAAGACCAAATTTCAGAAAAGCATTTAGAGAAGTGTGAAATACCGATAGGAGGAGAGATACATCGAAGGCTCCAGACTGTTGCCTTGCAGTACATTTGTGCCTCACAGGGGGCACGAACTCATGTTCTGCAAAACTACACTGACAACAGAGAAGAAGAAAATACTTCATTCAGCCTGACAAGCCTGAGTGATTCTCAAGCACTGCATCTCAGCCAGGTAAACATTGCACTCCTGTTTGTATGGGAAAGAGGAAGGAGAGAAGAGGTTACTACAGTGTTCACTGATGCCCTACTGCAGAGTGGCATAGCTTTTGACTGGCAGCTGATGTGAAGATAAGGCTCAACATGAGACCACGAAGACTTTGGTACAGACACAGAACTTAGTAAGACAGGAAAGACAAGGACTGCTGACCACACTCAGTGAGGGTAGCTGATGCTCATTGGTTGAATGTTTATTCTTAGTCTCATATCTGCCTTTTTAAATCCCACAGGGGTCTCCCTCTTTCTCTGATGTCTCTTTTCCCAACATAGCTTTGGCCGTGCTGAAACAAGTGTGCTGGGCATGTAAACACCACCTGTAAGACACAGGTCCCAGGTTTTAACTTGCCTATACATCATCTGATAGGTAAAGATTCTGGTTCAGGGCGAGTCTCCCAGGGAACTCTAACTGTGTGTCAGCACAAGGACTCTCAGCATTTGACTCCTCAAATGGCTGTGTAGGTTTGGACAAAGGGAGCTGGACTATCCGGCTAATGTTTCCTTCATTTCCAACAAGTCATCAATTTTGGCTTTCTCTTAACACCCCAGTTACACCTCCACCACCATTGTCTTATTTCTCACAACACTCATCATTTGATGTTACGTTTTATGTTTGATTACTTTTAAAATATAGCTCTATTGGGGCCAGCAGGTGGCAGATGGCGTGGTAGTTAAGGTGGCTGGATTCCCACATGGTCAACTGCAGTTCGAGTCCTGGACTTGGCAGCCTGGAAATCATTCCAGGCAGCTGTGTTTGGGCACCCAAGTTCCTGAAAAAAGAATGGAAAGGAAGCAGCGTGGCATGGTCATGCCCCATGAGGGGTGATTTCTCATTTTCCCTTTCTGTGTCTCTCTCCTCTCCAGTGAGTGCATGCGCTGTATAGCAAAAACCTAAAATATAATAAATAGTAATAATTGTATTGTACCAGCAGTACCAGCAGGTGGCATGGTGGTTGTGGTGCTGGACTCCCACATAGCCAACCATAGTTGGAAGTCCTAGACCTGGTGGCTTGCTTTCTCACTTTCCCCCTCTTCTGTCTCTCTCTGGCCAGATTAAATAAATAAATAAATAAATAAATAAAATCCATTAAAAAAAAAGCTCTACTGAGCTTTAACTACATACCATAAAATTCACCCGTTTTAGGGCCAACCCTGTTGCCTAGTAGTTAAGGAAGCCAGATCCTTCACTGCCAGCTGAGGTTTGAATTCCAGCCTCGTTGGCTTGAAAAACACGCCAGGTACATATGCTAAAATCATGACAGGATACAAACATGGAGAAGGTAACGTGGCATGATCCCACCACATTGGGGTTACTTTCTCTCTACCTGGTGAGAACACACACCTGACAATTATTTCTTTAGTTCATTCACTTTAAATATGTAACCTAATGACCTGTTTCCCCCACCTCCCCGTTTGTTTTTCAGAGAGAAATTTTTGTTATAGGGTGCATGCACTGACCAGAGAGGCAAAAAGTGAGATATTACCTCCCCAGGGGGGATGGCCATGCTGCAATCCCTTCTCCTCCAGTCTGCTCCCGGTATTTTGGGCACCCACGCACACGTGCCTAGCTTGAGTTTCAGGCCGCCACCCCACATCCTTTTTAACTGCTAAGACGCACGTGCTCACCAGAGAGTGGTGTCTGTTGTGGGAACAGCCATCCTCAAGAGGCGTGGTCCCTCTGTTCACAATATCCTTATCCTGTCAGTATTTTAGAGATTCAAGTACATGCTACCCAGTGTGTTTTTCAAGCCTCTGGGGCTGGGATTCCCACTCATGTGGGATCCAGCTCTCTTAACCACTAGGCTATAGGGTTGTCCCAGGTACATGTAGTGATGTGCAACCATCACCATGAAACTCTAAAAACCACCCCTCCCCCACTTCTCTCATGTCCACTCACTGATTTTTTTTTTTTTTTAAAGGTTTCTGCCATAGGGTGTGTGAACTCACCAGAGAGGGAAAGTGAGTAATCACCCCCCAAAGAGGGATGGTCACAGAGCAATCCCTTTTCCATTCTCCTCCTGAGATTTTGGGCACACATGCACAGGCACTTGGAGTGACTTTTCATGCCGCTGGATTCAGGACTCAAACTGTAGTCAGCCATGTTGGTGTGTCCAGTACCCCAACCACCATGCCACTTGCTGTCCCCTCTCCCTTTTTTAAGTCTTACCACAGGGCACATGCTTTCACCAGAGACAGAGAGAAGAAAAGTGATAAGCACCCCCATTGGGCATGGTTCTGCTGCAATCTCTATCCCTTCTCCATTTCTCTCTCCTTTGGGATTCTGACCAAGCATGCACATATGCCTGATGTTTATCAAGCTGCTAGGTCCAGGACTCAAACCTGCAGCTGGCCACATGGGACCCAGCTGCCTTAGGCCATGAGCTATCTCTCATTTTTGTTTCAAAAATTACTTTAAAACCATTTTTTAAACAAATCCCTACAAAGCCATTTATTTTGGGAATCAAACCCCCTTATTAGCATCATGGTGAGTTCACATAGATAACCTCCAGTATGATCAATGCAGGCTCTAAAAGGGATCTTCCTATGAAAGGGAAGTAAAGAACCAAACTTAACGGCTGCTCTTATTCCCAACCATTATAAGCTTTCACCTTCTCTAGCCTTAATGGCAAATCGTGGGAAGCAGCCATAATGAAAAGTCATGGGCTGACCCATGAAGGGTAGCTTGACAAGGAAGGGTGCTAAACAGCAACAAAGCCAGAAAATCTAATGATCAGACTCAAGAATGGAGCCTCCCTTTAGCTCTGCATGCAAACCTCCTAAAGGGTCACTCTAGCTGCAGTAGTGCTAACATCTTGTTATTTCAAATTACATTTCTGCTCATGAAAAATAAAGAGAAAATGTTTTCCCCTTCTATCTGTCATTTATCATTACCTACTAGTCTATTATGCACATTCTCTCATGATTAGAAAACTGTATTAAGAAGTTCAAGCAATTTACCATTAAAACCAATTTTTACTAGTTCAAAAGTTTCATCTTTTTTGTAACTTAGAAAAGTGTGGGGGAAAAAAAAGAAGATATGACTCTGCCCCAAGCTTTTAAAAAATGGAAATCTAACTGCTTATGATTATCACAGTATGTAAATTCTGAAATACCCTGAGGTCTATCAAATCAGGCATATAAAACTAAGTTCACGATAAAATGGGGTTTGGCAGATGATTCAAAAGCTCTCCAGCATTAACAGCATGACGCCAATAACAGATTTCCTGGTGGTAAATTTCCCAGCTCTCTAAACAGGTTGGGAGTAGTCCCAGGGAACACACAACAGTCACAAAAACAGCAGAGTAGAAATGCTGACTGGCGTGCGTGCGTGTGTGAATTCACACAGATAACCTCCAATATGATCAATGCAAGGCTCCAAAAGGGAGCATGCACGTGCTCACATGCACACGCATGCACGCACGATCTAAGCACCCAGATGAGGAAGAAGTCAAGGTGTTGGCACTTCTTTTGGTTTTCTAAAATGGAGCTTCAAGATTTTGCCTGAACAGCAGCCAAGCCAAATAAATAAAGACCCTACTCCTACAGCCCCAGCTCCCCTACCTAGGAATCAATACAACAGCCAACCCAGGACACAGCTTCATTCCCCTCCTAACCATACTCACCTCAGAAAAGCAGGACTTAACTCTTTGAGAGAGACTATACCAGGTTAACGTGATTATCTGACATGAATGCATAACACATATTAACAACCTAACTGGCTCACCTTTCAGTGGATTGAAGAAGTTGAAGAACGATTCATTGGGCACCTGCTTAGTGATGGTCCTCACAGTGCCCCGGCCCTTATGCTTCTGCTTTTTCTTGATGGTTTTGACTGTAACATTTTTCCCTTTCTTCCAGTCAATGGTACACCTAATGGGGAAAAGATAGCCCTCATGGACACACACTCCATTGAAATAGCCAATTACCAATGCACAGAGGAAACAAACCACAACTCTATGCTAACCCTGGGACATTTATAACACCAACCTACAAACCAAGCACAAGAAAGGCTTATCAACTTGATACGAAGATCAATAAGAGAAATGAGCTGGTCCTCTCTCATCCTCAGTGGAATCCCTATCTCACGCTTCATACTTCTCAAAGGACAATGGTATTATTTTACCAAGGCATGTCTTAAGTATCCTGAAATGCATTCTCTGGAACAGAGCCTGGTTAAATCTGGAAATAAGCACCTACACAATGCATGAGACCTTGTCCCCTGCTGCCCCTGTACCCAGAGCACAGGTACAGTCACCCAGTCATATACCTGAATTTGCCAGGCACTAAAGGAGTGGGACAAGCTGGAGAAAGGAAGCACATTCCCTTACAAATCTGTGCAGAACACTCCAGCCCCAGGGATACTTGATGAGGGGTAAGCCCATTATGCCTGTTATCTCTCAATCACCATAGACAAGTAACACCTAGCAACATATGTTGCCAAGCCTGCTTAAGAGCACATTTGGAGGACAGGTATGGAGCCCACATACATGTAATCCTTTAGCTACTCAAGAGGCTCAGCCAGGAGATCTTGAGTTCTAGGCCACATATCAAGACCTGTCTCAAAACAAACAAAAGTGCATGGTTGCAAAGGCAAGGCCTTTTACTCACACAATGGACTGATCTGGATAATCTCTGTGAATTAGACTCCTGGAGTCTAGCAGGATTTCAATGAAGTTTTAAATTACCCATAGGGGAAATTCGAAACATTGAATATAGCATAAGTTTTGGTCAATGAACCACATATATGATGGTAGCACTAGATTATATAAGCCTATACCGGGGCTGGCAGGTGGTGGTTAAGAGTGCTAGACTCCCACAAGGCCGACTGTGGTTTGAGTCTTCAGACCTGGCGGCTTGCTTTCACCATCCCCCAACTCTTTCC